GAAATTTTATAAATTAAAGAGTTAAATGCGTTATTTTAACTTTATTGTAAAAGATTATGCATAAAGGGAAATCCCTAACAGTTTTTTTTTTTTTTAATTCTTGATGAGGAATCTTTCTTTAAAGAAAACCCTACAGTTAATATATAGTTATAGAATAGTTATCTCTTCTAGAGAAATTCTAAATTAAAAGATTGAATTTTTAATTCCTAAGAAAATTTCAGATATTTTAATTTTAGAAATTTTTTATAAGATTTGTTAAATTTGAAGAAAAATTCTAATGTAATTGATGCAAAAGGAGAATAGGTATAGGAGTATATGTTCTTTGTTAAACAGATATGCCTAATTCTATTCTATTTGAGCTCTAAGTATTTTATTAGCTTTGATTTATGTTCAACGTTTTTCATTTTTTTTAAAGTTGGGACTTATATACCAGTAATATTATAGTAATATTATCACTGAAAATGAGCCAAAAAGATTAACTTGTAGAATTTTAATTTAGAGGCATTGACTCTTGAACCTATATCAGACTTAAATAATGATACTACAATAAAATCTTCAACCTAAATTAATGCAATGAATGATGCATGGGTATCTATAAATGGAAACTTATAAAGGGCCAAGGATATTTTCCATTTTTCATAATTTTTTAGGAAGGATATTCAAGGGGCTCTTAAGCATCTTAAAATTCATGACATATAGGTTCTAAATCAAAATATAAGAGAGGTTAGCATATTTTCAATTTGTAATTGCGTTATATTTAACCATGAAATATTAATATAACTGTTTGGACTTGTACGTGTGTTACTATATATATATGAATTTCTAACTAATCACATCTGAAGGTCAAATTATAATTTAGTCTACTTAAGAAAAATAAATTTAAAACCAAAAAAAAAAACAAATGATAATTGTTTTTTGATGTACAACAAAAGGATATTGCAAAAAAAAAAAAAGATGATTTATTGATTGAAAATTAATTGATTAATAGGTTATATATATATATATTATAATTTCAAGAGTTTTTGTCACAAGGTGACAGATAGCCAACCCTGACAATATGTCTCAACTAAATTTAATCATAAGCTGGTATCTTCTAGGAGATATGCACATGGCTCAACTAGTATTTTAAGCAACTCGATGTATAGTTTGCAATGACACCATGTAATTAAAAGCGAATCTATCTAAAATTTCCAAAATTTAACTTTATGCTTTGAATTAAAAAAAAAACTAATAAAGTAATCCTGATATTGCTGGAACTTAAGATGCAGGTAGACGTAGAAGGGGTCCAAACAATTACAACAAGGCCTTATTTCATTAGAGTTGCTCAATTAATTTCTGCTTATAAAATTAGAATTTATTAAGGGCACTTGCAACAGTTTATAAAATTGTTTGTGAAGTAATTGTGAAAAAAATTATTTAGCTATCCTCGTTACAAAAAGTAGCTTTTCAAAATAGAAATTGTGAAAGCAGTTAAAAAGTACCAAGAAAACAGCAACAAATAAAATTTTGATTGCTGTCTGAAATGCCAAATAATAGGAAAATTGTCCAAAACAAACTCTTTGTGTTTATTTTGAATGGCTGCAATGTTTTGTCAAGTCGGTTCTGAAGCTATGACAATGAATAAAAAACTTTTTAAATAATTTTCAATTAAAAAATTGTTTTTGAAAGCAATGAAAAATAGTGGTTAAATAAAAATTATGATTATGAATTGAACAACATAGTAATAAAAAGCCCTCGAAAGTATTTGGATACGAAATATGCAAAAAGTTTTTTAAAAAAATTCTAAAATAAAAAAAAAAAAAAAAAAGGCATATGATGGTCGATCAGCATCTAATAATTGGTAAGATAAACCCTCCCAACTTTAATAGCTTAACTAACAGCAATTAGGTGGGATAAAAAATGCTTTGGTGGGAGCCACGAGAGGATATCACACGGTTGCTTTTGGGACCATCCCGAATCCATCCCACCACCCTAATCATTCCAAACTGAAAACCAATTTATATATTTATTAATATTAATAGTTTTGCATTCAAAGTTATTGTAATAAAAGGGTATTCTAATTTAATGATTTTCAATAAATAACACACTTAGAACAATGATTCATCTATATATTTTATATAATAAAGAAAAATAATAGAGAAAAAAATAATAGATACGCAATGAAATTAAAGGCTTTATTTTAAATAAACTTATGTTATATTTTTAAGATAGAAATATTTTGAAAGAGAGAGTATATCTCACACAAGAATTTAATTATTTTAATTCTTTAAATGAAATATTATTTCTGCTCTTTTAAATTTTCAAAATTAAGAAAATGGGAGAACATTATTGAGAAGGTTGATACCCAAGAAAAATTATTTTGTGCGGACCCGGACGGCTTTCGGAGGCCGACCAGAATGCGCCACTTCATTTTTTACTCGGTAACAGTGCTGGGTACCGCTTTGTACAGAGTGACGTGATACATTTTGGTTGGCCTCTAGACCGCCTGGTGTCTGCACAGAATAATTTCTCCGAACCAGACTGAGTAAAAGGAATGCAACTATAAATCTCTACTTATTTTTTCTTATCGAATATCAATGTCTTTACTAAACCCTAAACTATGAAAAATCTCTAAATTTAACATAAATAATTGAGAATCACAAACTGAATATCTATAACATGGACATTAATATGAAGTGAGTTGGAAACGAAATAGAATAAAATACACAGTAAATAATGAATATGTTTTTTTAGAGCATTGATGCTAGAACCAGATTAATTGCTCTATCTCAAAGCAACACCTATAAATAATTATCTTATGTCTTTGTTTCTAATTTAACTTATATTTTTGTTATTGTTTTACCTCAAATTGTTAAAGAACTCTTTCTATTTATTAAAATTATAATTTTGTGGGTGGCTGGACATGATTCCGCTCATGTTAAGGCTTTAACCATTTGAAAAAAAATTCACAAATTATTGCTAATGAAATAAATTTTTATAAAAATATAAGTGAATTTTATACTTTCTTGGAAAGATCAAACATTAGCATTCTTATAATTATTACACTAGCATATTTCATCGCATAAAATCACTTTATGTCAAAAAATTTTTGAAAAAATTATTGTCAAGACATTTTGATGCAAAATGCATTGGAATGTGTTTCAACATGATGAGCATCTTATTATTTTAGTTTTTTAATTTAAAAAAAAAATAGAACACATTATCGTTAGAAAAACCGTATCAAAATATGATTTAAAGTTTTTAATTATGCATTGAGAATGGTACTGTGCATGATACCATTAATTGTAGTCATTTTAGTGCAAATTCAAAGACGTTCATCTAGACTTGTTTTATAACATACTTTCATAACAAATAAAAAAATTATAGCTAAATAAAACAGCTGAAAAACAAAAACATTTAGACATCTAAACGAACCGAACAATTAGTTGAGACAGGAAAGCATGATATATTTCCTTTGGTGTTCTCACTTATAAAGCTTGCTCTGATTTTGCCAATTGCTACAGCAACAGTTGAACGAGCTTTTTCTGCAATGAAAATTATAAAGAATCGTTTACGCAATCGCATGGGAGACTCCTGGATGAATGACTGTTTACTTACTTATATTGAAAAAGATATTTTTAGTTGTATTGACAATGACTTGATTGTACAACGATTTCAAAAAATGAAGACTCGACGGGAGAAATTATAGATAACATAGAAGAAGAATATCAAGACTATGTTCTTGTTCGGCTCGTCAAGGATTTAAAAAAAACGCATGTGCGAGAACTCAAAAAACAGCGGGTCGGGTCGGCGACTTTTCTTCATGCTACGTGGCTCTAAAACATTGGTGGCTGAACATAGAGGAGCATACGTTCACCGGACAGAATAAAAGTTTAAAAAATTATAGCTAAATAAAACAGCTGAAAAACAAAAACCTTTAGACATCTAAACGAACCGAACCCTTCATTTTTTTTTTGGTGGCAAGGTTATGCTGCGCGAGTATTTATATTAATGCATAGAGCCTGATCGATTTCAGGTGTGGTAAGTGGTATCACTTACTAACCAACCATCCGGCACTTTTTTCCATATAAATTAACCTGAAACTCCATCGATCTCCCACAACGGATTTCTCAATGGCCGCTTCTGTGTTACTTGCTTCCTTCCTTATGCTAACGTGCCTTCTCCTTGCTGAGGGCAAAACGCATCGCGTAGCCCCTGGGCCGGCCGCTGGCCCGCTCAGCCTCACCACCATCCTCGAGAAAAGTGGGCAATACAAAACTCTCCTGCGTCTGCTAAAGGAAACCCAGGTGGGCGTACAGATCCAGAGCCAGCTGAATAATTCTTACAATGGACTCACACTCTTTGCCCCCACAGACAATGCCTTTTCTTCGCTCAAAGCTGGTGCTCTTAATGGCTTGAACAACCAGGAACAGGTTTCTTTGGTTCTCTACCATGTTCTTCCTCGGTAAATGGCATATTCATTGCACTAGTTGTTAGTTGTTCTATTTCAACTTCAGGATTCAAACTTGAGCTCGATATATTTCTAAGCAATTTAGATCTGATGAGATGAAAATTGGACTTTTTATTCCTCACAATATACTTATTCGAACTAATATCTAGTTATATATTTTTCAATAAATATTTTCGAAATTATATTTTGAATAAAAAAAGCCTTTAATAAAAAATATTCTCATATATTTGTTGACTGTTTATTTGAGTCTTTATATCCTTTGAAACTAGTTGATATTCAAACCAGTTTGAAGCTAATTCGAGCTTTGATTCGAATCTACTGAAACGCTCATCCAAGTAGAAGAGCTTGGCTATTTGAGAGCTGGAGATCAAAGGCGTGTTAGATATCTAGGAGTTTTACGAAGGAAATCGTAGGGAGATTATGACAATGAAGGGAGAAGAGCTGGGAGTTTGTCGTTTGTGCTGGAAGGTAATTTGCCAATGAAGATTTGCATAAAGAGTGTAGCACCAGTAAACTGAGAGAGGAGTTTTAGTTTGTTAGAACAACGAACATTAGTTCAAACCAATTCAAGTAAGTTCGAGCTAGATCCGAAGGGCTTATGATTTAAATATATGAGTTAACTTGATTCAATATTAGTCCAGGTTAATTCAAACATAGATTCAAGTCATATCTGCCTCGTTAGCGGGCTGATTCATTACATCAAAGATCAATCTTAATATAAAACGATTTAAGTGGCTGTTTGGTATCGGAGTTGAAGCGTAATTTAGGCTGCATTTACCGTAAATCCTACCAAACAGTTTTTGAGCGCGTAGAAAATATGACTCCCTCTTAAATCCTAGATTTATGGCGTAAATCCTGTATTTACTAAATGCTGTAGTTCGGTGGATTTAATGGGATTTATGGATTTACAAAGTTCTTCCGCGGCGAGCGTGCGATCTCCCGTCTTGAAGGAGGCGAAGATGGTTACCTACACAGCGAGCAAGCTCCCGTCATGACTTCCAATTTGACGCCTTCGAAGCAGGAGAAAAAGTTGCTTTAGCGACTCTGCCAAAAACATTTTCATGCGAAGTGTGCGAAGCCAAAGCAGCCACGAAGAAACAACGACCGGAAAAGCGACATCAACGAAGATGGTAAAAAATGAAAAACAAACCCTAGATGGCCTACTAAAAGAAGAATTCATCTAAGTTAGCATTATTAATATAATTTAAACATTAATAATTAATTTCATTAATTAAAATAGTATAATTCTTAGTGTAATTAGGAATCTAATTTAGCTTAATTAAATAATTCATACTATAATTATCATTAAGTTACTTTAAGTAATATAATTTAAAATAGAAATAGTTAATTATATATATATTTAATATTGTATATGATAATTAAATAATTAATTAGTAGTTGAATATTGAAGTGAATTAATATAAAAATTAATAATTGGCAGTTTCAAAAAAATAATTAACTAATTATTTAGGGTTAATAAATATTATTAGATAAGTAGTAATATAATAAATAATTTGATAATTAACACTAAAATATGTGTTAGAATATGTTCACATTTAAATTTTTAACCGTCTTAATTGTGAAATCTAATGCCAAATGGTTTCTAAGGATTTATCTAAATTTAATATATGTCATACCAAACAGTTTTTAAAATTTAACATCCTTAGGATTTATTAGATTTAATTGATGGGATTTACTAATCCTACTCAAATTAAATCCTACTTGTTACCAAACAGCCCCCAAAATATTTTCATTAATGGGCTAGCAACTCATTTATAAAAATTGCAACAGGATTGTTTCATTTTCTAAATTTAAAAATTACGGTAAACAAATGTGACCAGATTTGCAACAGTTATTATCTTCTGGCTCAATGAAGGAAACGAGAGAGAGAGAGAGAGAGAGAGAGAGAGAGAGAGAGAGAGAGAGAGAGCAATAATTTTACTTTATGCAGATGACAAAGAAACACTTTGGTTATAAATATTTTTTCTTAGAGCAGCACTTTAATTAGGACATATTCGAGAAAAAAATATTCATCATAAAATAAAACAAAATAAAAGCTAAGTCTTTGTTGATGAAAGAAGAATGTGAGGCAACACTTTATTTATACACACATGTTGCAGGTTTTATAGCCCATCTATGTTTGAATCCTCAAGCAATCCAGTGAACACTCAAGCATCTGGAAGCGATGGCGTCTACACCCTAAACGTTACTGGAACAAGCAATCAGGTGAACATATCCACTGGAGTGGACCAGGCGGAGATCAGCAATATCCTTTACTCAGAATTTCCTCTTACCGTTTATTCCATAGATAAAGTTTTGCTTCCATATCAGCTCTTCGGACCAAAGCCTCCTGAAGCAGCTCCAGCGCCAGCTCCGGTAGCGGCGCACAAGAAGAAGCATAAGAAAGCTGCTGAGGATTTGGCGGCGGCGCCGGTGGCAGACGCCGATATAAAGGCGTCGGGGACAAAGCTCAAGAAGAGCAAGTTAGAGTGGCGATTGGCTCTTTGGGGTTTTTTGTTCTGTGTTGGGAGTTTGATGTGAGAATTGAAAGAAGAAAATTTTCTTGATACTTTAATGCGAAATATATTAAGGGATCTCAAATTTTTTGAATTTGTGCTGAGATTAATATATAATCTCAGTATAAATGTAAAAATTTTGAGCCTATCTTGAAATATTTCGCATCTCTTTTATTTTGTGCTTTGGATTATTTAATTTCTTGGTTCATTTACGAATGTGATTGGTGGTTTGTTTTGTAAGCTGTTAATTTTTCATTGTAGAAACTGGAACGCCAATGGCCCAATTTGGCTTAATTGAGATTTGAATATATGTTTTCAAAATGATGGATTTACAAATTTTTTTCACTTGTCTAAAGGAATTTAATATATATATATATATATATATATATATATATTTTGAATTACAAACATTATGATGCATTTTTTCTTACACAATGGTAACGGGAAATTTTTTAGCTTAAGCATTTTTAGTTACTTAATTAAGTGTTTAGGCATGATAAAAAAAATGATTTAAATTAGATATAGTCGTCACTTCAACATGCGACTTGCTCTTTTCCATTTTTTTTAAAATCGACATTTTTTTTTTACCTTAAAATAACTCGGATATGCATCTTAATCAAATAAGGGCTAAGGTAATTTCATACAATATTAGGAGAAAAGACAATTAATGTGCATTACAGCATATGCTGAGCATATAACTAACTCAAGATGAAATGTAATGAATTCAGATTAATAGAGCGGTTTTGATGCTGCTTTAGAATTCTGGCGCAGCTCACCCTTTGGCTTAGCCACTTCCACGAAAATAACTCTTTCCGTGCATTCCTTCAATAGCCTTTTTGGATTCATCCTCTGTGGAATAACGAAGAAAAGCAAAACCTCTTGGTCTATTTGCAATCCGGTCCATGACAAGGTTCACTTCCATGAGTTCCCCAAAATTTTTGAAAGCATTCTTTAGACTTTCTTCAGTAGTGCGAAAAGAAAGACCACTAACAAAGAGGCGAGTAGACGGTCGTGAAGCGTTGTTGGGAAAAGAAGAAGACGAGCAGGCGATCACTATCGATCCACCGCGCAGCAGCGAGGTTACAGCGCTCCATTTGCTCGAAGAGGGAGGCAAAGTTAAAGAAGATATCGAAAACCGCTTCTTAAGGAGAAGATCGAAGGAGGAAGTTGCGCAGGCGACGCTTTGCTTTCGAGAAGAAAGGGAGGATATCTGAATGGCGAAGGGAGGAGATACAGCCACCGCCATTGCCGCTGTTGCTAGGAGATATAGGTGTGAGGTGCTTCGAGATAATGGTGGTGCTGCTCAGACTCGATCGACTTGAGAACATGCAAGGAAGTTAACCAGGGCATCAGAATGGAAGAGATGAAGTTAACATAGACTAGGGCAAGTCGCCCCATAGACTGGCGATTTAATCTATCACAGAGTTTTTTCTAAAAAATGATTGAATTGAGAACCAAGCTGTTAATGGAAATAACTAAGTTAACACTATTAATAATATAGCTGTTAATGGACAAGCAACTTATAGAAAATATTTTTTTTTAAATAAAAAATTATTAAATATTATTAAATATTTTGTTTGCATCTATAATAATGCTGAATAAGGCAATAGTGTATTGTCAAGAAACATTTACAATACTGTGCATCATAATCCATGTAATCATGTACAACATCAGTGATAGGGAATCATGAAGTGGGAAAGCAACATTGAATTATATTAGGTTTGACAAAAATCTCTACAAAGATTTTTATAGGGTGTTATTGATCGACAAAATTGATCTTTTGCATAACAAAACTTTAACTATTTAAATGGCTCTGTATACATTGGACGTGAACATTCAGTGTAGTTTCCTATAGCATGTGGTTTGTATATTTCAAGAAGCTATTTGTCTTAACTCCCCTTTTCTTTTATATAATGCACTAGCCTAATAATGAGAAGTCTCGTAATATATGGATGAAGGACTTGGTGGACATGGTCATGAGTGCATGTCAAGATGTTTTGACAATCCACTTGAGCAACTCGCTAGGGCTATTAAGATTTTTCAAATGTTGCATACATGTATGGACAAAAGATAAGGATAGAATTCTTTGGTATTTGCATGTGGAGGTAGCGAAGGTAGACGAAAATAGAAATGAAGAAGAAAATTTTTTTAATGCTAAAGAATGGAAATATATGGAATCCAAGTTTTTTTTTTTTTTTTTGAGAAAGATCGCCATCTTGTTGGTGATCACTCTGTCCAGATGTGAATTTATGAAGTATGTCATGAAAGGGAAGGTGTGTGTTCGAGCATTGTTGGACGACCACCTTGTGATATTGAGGATCTCATTATATGCATTCCTTGAGATCTAGCTGATGAAGTTTTTGTTTTAGACCTATATATATATATATATAAGAATGAGGAACCTTTTTCTTGAAGGTAAGGGAAGAATGTTTTAAGACCTGGCTGATTGGCAAGATTTACAATACAAGTTTCATTTCTACTTTGGTTATTTTTTCAATTAAACTCAATTCCCTAGCGTATACACTAGTTATTGAAGGGCCAGTAGTAGTGTAATCACCTTTTATTATTCTTTTAATGTTGTAGATTTTGTGAGTGAATATTTGTAATTGTAGTTGTTATAGCACTGTGCTTTATTTGTTAGTTATTTATTAACTATACTACATCTCTGCTTATAAATGAAGTAGTGTTTATTGTACTTTAAAGCTATGTATGATTTTGTATAGCATTTCAATGTAAATTGACTGAGTTAAATCTACAAAAATATTATATTCAATCAATCATAAATAGACAGAAAATCCTATGAAAAATAGCATAAAGATTCAATGGTAACTAAGATAACAGTCTGTGTAGACATATACATATCGTAATATAATAGATCTAGTGAATATTAATAAACACAGTAAAAATATAATGTAAAGTAAAAGTAATATACAAAAACCCTGTGTTTCCTCTTATGCTTGTGTGGTAGAGCATCAAAACTAGGTGTGTAGTGCTAGGGTGGTCGAATAGGTCAATTACATAACACACGCTACTCCACTCCACCTGTGACTGGCTTTGTAAGTGTTGGTTCTATACAACATAGAACAAAATCAAGTGTGCACCATGGTATTATGAACTACTGTGTCGGCTGAGTAAAGTACTCCTAAGATGGTGCTGGGTACTCAAACAATGATGGTTCTGCAACTATGGAATGGGAATATAATATTATGGAGTAGGACTGATTGTTGTGTACTCAGTATATGCTTGTTTATTGTAGTGCACATAAGAAATATGCATCTGTCTATGCATATCCACAATCATCTCTACTATTCTCTTAATAAAACTTTCAGCATATGTGTAGTCATCACAACTTACAAAAGGTAGCACAACCCTCCTTGTGTTTAGGAAGAATGTGCACTATAAATATAAAGTTGAAGAACAATAAAAAATTGTAATAGCATGAAAATTGTATTAATTTTACTCACCAAATACCACTCCAATGATGCTCGAGGGTAGTATATCAAAGGAGGCCCTGATACAGACTTTAACATATATAATGTAGCCCATACCTAAACCAATATAGGATCTGTAAAATGATCTACTCCCTATCAGCTCCTGTAAGCATTCATTAATAATATAGGATCACTTATCCTCCGACATCCCAATATAGGCAAGATAATACACCATCAATACAATATCGTCCTTAACGCCCATCAACTCAGATAAATATGGGATCCATTGCATGTAACTTTATGCTAGGAAGATATTCAAACTCTCGGATGACTGTGTCAGGAAAGTTCCACTCTATCCACATCAAGCTAATTAGAGGCACAGGAGTTGACCATATTGCTTATCCCGACAAGCATATATCAGCAACTTGGGACTAAACTTCTATTGGGTAGGACTCTTCAACCTAGCATGTTGTAGACACAATGTGAAGGATGATGAACATGAATTTTATCCCAACATAAAATCATCAATAAATATAAACAACTCATAATGTTTGCCCTCTTAGGTTTTGTTTCCTTAGAAAATTCTCTATATAAGTGTGCTAGAATAGCGGCCCCTAAAGAGTATGTACTAAACAAACCCAATTTATTTAGCGATGTCAACTACCTCAGCTGTATCTCATAGTCAAAAGTATATAGTAGAAGGTAACATCACAAAAAGAACAAAATGTATGCTCAAATATGTTGCTAAAATTCTTTCTCATTCAGGTTATCATATGAATCCTTATAGAAGGTCCAACACAGTTATCTCAGTGGTAAACATGTTTAAGTTGGGTCTATCTCATCCAAAATTTTGAATGAATATGACGATCAAATGGATAATAGTATGCAACATCCCGTTAAGGATAACAACCTAACAAATCATCGCAACAATCAACTCAACCACTGTATACCAACACCTACCAATTTTAGCCAACCAATACTTAGCTATCTATATAAACACCCAAGATCTGAGCAGCATCACGTAAAGTGATACACATCTCACCTATGGGAAAGTGAAATGAGTCGGTCTATGGTGTCCACCACTCCACAAGAGCTGTTAAGATATTGTAATCCATTCTGGTGTAACATAGCTAGATAACACAATCCAAGCCTAACATTCAAAGGCCTTTCATAAACTTGGGACAATTTATGGGCCACTCGTGTACAATGAAGAGATGGGAGACAACTTCCAAAACTGTACCTTATAAATTTAGAAAACTTAAATTCAATAAAAACATTAATAGAAGATAGGGAAAACATAAATATTAAAAACATAGCATACCTCATATGGATGGGCAAAGCTAGGATGTACATCCAACAATCCATATTGCTAAGTATCTTCCTTATTGGCGTTTGTTTAGGTTGGCGTTTTCATCTGGTTGGTTGATTTTCTTGCATAACAATTACAATTGATTACAACAAGTTATTATTAGCATATGTGAAAAAGAAATAAAGTAATAAATTAATTGCAATTTAAGGAATAATAATAACATATGTTAAAGAAATATTAAAATTTAAGAGTAAATAAATTTGCTTAATTAATAGTAAAAAAAGATTAAAAAAAATATTGCATTTTCAAACAAAAAAAAGCTTCAAATTGTATTTCAATTTAACTCAAGAACATAGTAAAGTATAACAACATCGCAAGTAGAACATAATATGAACATATTTGAATATCATTACCACAAGAACACAATTACAACATCACCATTACACCACCACTATTACAACATAATATAATGTTTCTCTAATGACACTCCCACAACATCACTACTACAACAATATAAAACTTAAGTATACTATGCATGACTGTTGCAATCCAGGATTCCTAGTATGTGATTTTGCTTATGATAAATAATATTGACTGGATTATTACATTCTTCATTGAATATTTCAGATGTTATTTTTGTCTGTGAGCACTAACATTTTAGATAAAATACACACCACTCAACACCGTTGAAGACTCAAGACTAGGTTGAATAGGATGTGAAAGAGTATGTAATTTATATTTTCTTCAGTTTTCATTTCTTGATTTTGGTAACAAAAGAGTGTATGCAAATCAGGTGATCATGCACACACACAAGGGGAGATATTTTTTAAAAAATGAAAATTTTTAAAGACAAATTGTAATGTATAATTTTTATTTGTTCTATATGATCTATATCTAAGAATAAACTTAACGACTAATTGAAAATTTAGTTTCTATGAACTAATCATATTGTATAATTTATTTTGATCTGAAAACCCTAGACACAAAATTAATTTAAGTAAAATTTTGAGATTTATGTTTTGAACTATTCATACTGTATGATTATAATCATTTAAAATCTTGTTAAAATTAACCCCCAAAATAAGAAAATTAAATTGTGGTTAGTTATTGATTTATATTCGTACTGTATGATTCTTATCATACTGTACGAAGAATAAAGATAGAATTTGGTTGACCCATAAATCGTACTCGATAAAACCATGATTTTTATTCATTTAAAAATATTCTGTTAGTAGATGATTTAAAGCATAATTAGTTAAGTATTAGTCAACTATGCGATAAAAGCTTTGATATAAAATTTCTTTCTAACAAAAACATGATTAGCCTATATGTTAAACTTGTGTTAGGAGAAAAAAAATGAACATTGTTTACATGTTAAACTTGAATTATATTGAATACTCAAATTCCTTGTATTTAAAAATAATAACAGATGATTCTTGGCTATGACAAAGGAGACTATGCAATGCGAGCATGAAAATACTTAGGAATATCACTTAGAAAGGCCTAGCTAGTTAGAGGCATACATAAGTTAAATTTCACTAAAGACCACATATGTAATACCTTTCA